ACACACACTCACACACACACACACACACACACACACTCACACTCCCTCGCCGCTGCTCTTTCTCCACACACACTCACACGCGCGCGCACACACACTCTCACACACACACACACACACACACACACTCACACTCCCTCGCCGCTGCTCTTTCTCCACACACACTCACACGCGCGCGCACACACACTCTCACACACACACACACACACACACACACTCACACTCCCTCGCCGCTGCTCTTTCTCCACACACACTCACACGCGCGCGCACACACACTCTCACACACACACACACACACACACACACTCACACTCCCTCGCCGCTGCTCTTTCTCCACACACACACACACGCCCCCGCACACACACACACACACACACACACACACACACACACACACTCACACACACACACTCCCTCGTCGCTGCTCTTTCTCCACACACACAGCTGCATCACAGCAAACACGGCTCGTGATAATACCTGCTAGAATTGATTTAGGCTGTGATTGGAATAAAATGGATGTTTGGAGGTGAAGTTCAAGGTTTTGCCCCCGTTCCCCGAGCCCCATTTCCTGCCGAATCGGCAAATATTTGCCTCCGGAGGGCCGCCGCAATCACAGAGCTCATAAAACAATCCGCCCCTGCAATAGTTTGAAATATACAGCCTGCCGAAATGTGTTTTATATTCCCTTTCCTAATTATAGCTCCTTCCCCCATCATTCCCTCTCGCTGTGACATCACACGACTAATATTGACGGTAAAGGCCAAAAATGAAAAGTCTGTCACCGTTTATTTATTCAAGACTTTCTTTTGTGTACATTCTCATTTTATGGTGCTCCTTTAAGTCCCATGTATTCACACGTTTTGTTTTGGTCAGGAAAAATCCTCCAGAATCCTGAAATAGCAGACCTCTGACACCAAGTGAGAATTCATAATGAGCCGGTCTGGAAAATAAGAGGAACAGGAAAGAGTTTTATCTCCTAGACGGCTGCGTGACCCTGTGACAGACCCCGGGTAAAAACATCCAGCGGGAATCTCACTCTTCCAGCACAAAGACACACGGTGGAGATGCTATAGTACACTGAGACCAATGCAGCGTCTTTCTGTTCTGATGCCTAAAATATTAATAATAAACACAGTGATCGTTTGAAATCATCATTTACAGTTCAAAGTGTTATGAGAAAATACAGTATTACAAAACAGTAAACAAAGAAATGTGTACAGCTGTTCAAATCTCACCAAGGCTGCATTTATTTGATTAAAAATACAGTAAAGTCAGTAAAAATGTGAAATATTATTATAATTTACAAGAGCATTTGTCTATGTGAGTATGTGTTAAACTGTAATGTATTTCTGTGATGCGCAGCTGTATTTTCAGCATCATTACTGCAGTCTTCAGTGTCACATGATCTTCAGAAATCAGTATAATATGCTGATCTGCTGCTCGAGAAACATTTCTGATTATTATCAATGTTGAAAACAGTTGTGCCGCACAATATTTTAGTGCAAACTGTGATATATTTTATTTTTCAGGATTCACAGATGAACAGAAAGTTCAAAAGAACAGCATTTATTTGTAATAGAAATCTACTGTAACATTACAAATGTCTTTACTGTGACTTTTGATCAATTGAATGCATCCTTGATGAATACAAGTATACTTCGTATTTCTTTAATCATAAAAAAAATCTTACTGACCCCAAATTTTGAACAGTAAATAATGCATATGTATGAATATTTATAAAGAAATGTAAATATGTTTAATATTATATGTTATATATAATTTAAGAGACATTAATTGACTAAGAGAACAAGAGAATAGACAGGAATAAAATGTAATTATGGCTAATAATAAAATATATATATATACACACACATATGTGACCCTGGAGCACAAAACCAGTCATAAGTGTAAATTTTTCCAAATTGAGATTTCTACATCAGCTGAAATCTGAATAGATAATCTTTCCATTGATGTATGGTTTGTTAGGATAGGAGGACGATATTTGGCCGAGATACAACTATTTGAAAATCTAGAAATCAAGATATTGAGAAAATCGCATATAAAAAAAGTTGTCCAAATGAAGTTCTTAGCAATGCATATTACTAATCAAACATTAAGTTTTGATATATTTACGGTAGGAAATTTACAAAATATCTTCATGGAACATGATCTTTACTTAATATCCTAATGATTTTTGGCATAAAAGAGAAATGTATAATTGTGACCCATACAATGTATTGTTGGCTATTGCTACAAATATCCCCCAGCGACTTAACACTGCTTTTGTGCTCCAGGGACACATATATCATCACTGTGCCATAGTACTTCAATAAAACCGTCTGCAACTGGCCTAAATCTTATCATGAAGCAAACAAAATTGAAGAATCGTTTAGGTCTGGATTTGGCACGACAGCGGTTTCTCACAAGCCGGTTCTGCTCCAGAACTCAAGATATCACAGTTCAGAGCTGCTGAATGCGAGACGTGGCTTTTTGCGGAAGAAAGCAGGAAAAACACACTTCTGCTGAAAGTGTCGCATTTCTGGAATACAACCAGGGTTTTCTGCTCGTTTGGTCACACTCGTTTTGATCTGCGCCTAATATCACGATTAAAAGACTAGCGCTGAAATCTACAAAAGTGATGCAACAGCCATTCGATCCTTCGTTTGTGAGAACGGGAAATCTCCCGAGGCGCGTTCTTGGACGGACACGAGATACGAGTGTTTAAAGGCTTATTTACATTGAGGCAAAGGTATGATTAACTTGTTAGTGTTGCACATAACTCCGCTCAGCCAGAGTCAGCAAACGGGTGGATTTGTAATCAAAACTAAACGATTCTCAAGGAGAAAACGTATCCTGAAACCACAGCGGCGTTCCCAGCATTCGTCTGTCTCTTTCTGAGCATCTAAACCGTGTGGTTTGTCAGCTCTGAGAGAGACGCGGCTTGTGTTTCATACACGGCTTTTAAAGCGGCACGCGTTTGATGCAAGCCTCTTTTACGGAAACAGACGTGTAATCGAAGCCTGCGCAGACTTTCACAGTCTTTTAAATATGAACAAAGTCACAAAACAACAAACAAACCTCGTCTATTTGCATAAAGCGCCACATTAGACCTCCAGAGGTCACGACGTTTGACCCTTGAAAGCGAAGCCCGAATCAGCCCTTCAAAACCTCAAACATGCTTCATCTCAACCGGAAAACAAAACACAGGATGATTGAGCACATACTGAAGCACATAAACAATCCATGAATGAAGAAAGAGATCAAATACTGCGGTCCTGGAGCGGATGCAGCATTGAGTCAACATGAAATCAAACCTGACCTTATTTACATTTCATATTCTTGGTCTTATTGGGAACGATTCATCAGAGCACATTAGTGCAAAAAACGTTTGCCTTTATAATCTTTCATCAAAATTATAAGTAACTCTGGATCCACTTTCATTTTCAGCTTGCAGCGCTAGTCCTATAAAGACAATTTTCACTATTCAGTCCATTTATGATGGATAAAATCAAGTCCTATCCTACATTTTTCCAACCCCATGTAGCAAAAAATTAAATAAAATAAATAAATATATTTTTTTATATATTTCAAAACATACTACATAAATATATGTGCATAAATATATTTTCTACCAATATATTTTTTGGCCTTTTTTTGAAAATATAAATATATATTTTTAAAAACATTTTAAAATATATTTCGCGCTCCATATATTCCAAATACATTCACATACGTACGTCACATTTGAAGAAAAACAGTTTGTTGTCTGTAACATGAGTGAACATATAACACATTTGAATAAAAATAAGTAATTAATAATTTTCTTGCCCCTGAAATACATTTTGGTACATTAAGGTTGAAACTAAATATGTTTTCAATTTCAAAAATATATTTCATTGAGCATCACTGTTTACAACATATATTTAAAATACATGTTGGCCTGAATTTATTTATTTTTAATAAAAATGTCTGCATGTAGGATTTACCTTGAAACAAATTTCACTCAGAAACTGCTAGTAAATTTCACAAATCACTATAAAGAAATAGCAAGTAACACACTGAAATAAAAATACAATTTTGAAGTATTTGCTTGTAAACGTATTTCAATAATTTTACAGTGTGGTTTCACTCTGAAATACAGCACATTACAGACATTACATGGGTTATGAATTTGTACACCCTTCAAATATATTAATAAGGTTAAGCTTTAAGCACAGCTTGTCTATGAAAAAGCCACGTGTGTGTTAGACTTAAAGGGAATTATGACAGAATAAAACCGGTCTGAAAGACTTTTCCAATAACATCTGACGTGCAGTATCTTTTTTTCTTCTCTCACCCGCTGCACACCGCAGAACGGAGGAAAGAACACATTGGGAAATCAATAAATGAAAGGTTTATATTCCTCGGAGGTGAAATCACCCCGGGGTGACGCTTCCCATGTGTCCGGCGTTACGGGCCATTTCCAGTCCGACTCGATACGGGAGTTTATCAGCTCAGCGTGTGGAAAGACTGCACACAGAGACTGTGTTTCATTCTCATCAATACATCTGGATGAGCAAACAAACACGCACTGATTTCATCACAGCTCCTGTGCTTCTACCGGTAGAAAGTGTGGTTTTATTGCTTTTTTATGGTAATCTGTATATCAAGAGAGACCTGTTTAAACGCCCTCAGATTTCAAACACAAGCGTGTGCGACTGAAACACTCATGTTCTGAGGATCACGGTGAGCCGTTTGCAGAGGCGGACAGTAACTAAGTACATTTACTTGAGTATCGGTACTTTACTTGAGTATTATTTTTTCCGGGAACTTATGACTTTAACTTCACTACATTTGAAAGACATAGTAACGATAGAAAGTCATTACTCTGTAGCAGCTTTGAAAGTCAGTGGGTGATTTTTTTCTTCTCTAAAACGTGACTTTCTTATTTTCAGACAGTTTATCAGTAATCACTCTTGTAGGGCTACGTGAAGAGATGTCCCAGCATTGTTTGAACACTGACCAGGTGCAAATGCAACAATTCAATAATAAGAAGTTAATATTGTCGTATACATTACACACAATATTGTCTGATTTTGCTAAATTGTGTACGTGAAAATATTACCTTTAAAGCCACAGAAGAACTGTTGTGCGTCTCCTAATAAAACACAATAGGTGTTGGACTGAAGCAGCACTGCACAGACTGTTCTGTGTGTGACATCAAAGTACAGCGAGAGCGATTAGACAGCATTTCAAATGTTTGTTTTGATGTCAAATAAGTCTTGCTGTTTTGCTTTTGTGTTAAAGCAGTGTTGCTGTTGTAAAGTTGTACAGCTACAGTTGTGTTGCTGGGTTATAAAGCAGGTTTGATTTTTTTATCTTCCTTATCAGTCTGTATTTACAGGATTTCACTGTACTGTATTCAGCAGGTGTAATGTATTCTAAGCTGCTTCAGAAGTTGTATTCGTACTACGTACAACAATAAAACAGTGCATTGACATAAAAAAAGGAAATTTACTTTTGGTACTCAAGTACTTTTAAAAGCAAGTACTTCTGTACTTTTACTTAAGTAAAAATCTGTCTTTACAACTTTTACTTGTAATGGAGTAATATTTGACCAGCAGTATCTGTACTTTCACTCAAGTAATGGAGTTGAGTCCGCCTTTGGCCGTTTGTAAAAGATGAATGTGTAACACTGATGGATGACTAATTACAACCAGATTAAATGGACACCAGAGAAAAATGTTCATAGAGAAATATAAAACCGTCTGACGAGAAATGAAAAAGAGGCATTCAGACCATTACAAAAACCTCAACGCCCAAATGATTCACCAGTTTTCTTTTGCACTAAACTCCTCTTTTTCTTTTACAGCACAGCTAATGTTTTGAATACTAGTCGCCAACTAACACAGGCTTTTAATGCAAAATATAGACACTTTTCACTATCCAGTCCATTTCTGATGGATCAAATCAAGTCACATCCAACATTGTTTCCTGCAGAGTATCTGCACTGAAAAACTTGGTGTAGAATTTACTCTGAAACTAATTTCACAGAGAAATTGCAAGTAAAATCCACAAATAATGACAAAGAAATGGCAAGTAACTCAATGGATTAAAAAGTGTTAAAAGTGTAAATGCTGAAGTATTTGCTTGTAAACGTACTCCAATAATCACAACTTTGAAACATCATTTTTACAGAGTGGTTTCGCGCCAAAATACAGCACATAACAGACAACCCTTTAAATATATTAATACAATTTTTAATGGCCAATAAAGCATATATATATATATATATATATATATAGTAAAGTTTTTATATAAAAAAAAAATATTTAAATTTTTTTATGTATTTTTATTTTATCAATATTTATTTACGTAATAATCATGATTAAATTATTGGAAATAAATGAATCAATTTGAAAAAAACATGGACCTGAAAATAAACAGATTTATACTTGTAGTTCTGTTATGGCATTTTAAAATATATAGCAAAATATATACTGTTTACAAAAAAAAAGAAATAAATAAAAAGAAATGAAACTCTATAACCAACACTGCACAGTCAAACAAAGCAATAGCAACGAAAGATACTTTTTAGATCCCGTCTCCAAAACTACCATACAGTATTTTATGTAAAATGAAAGAGACCTTCTCTAAACTGCTTGAGTTTGAGTCGTTCAGCTAATAAAGTCTGTGTTGACAGAAATCGAATCCATCTATTTGTTTTAAAGGGGCTTCTGAGTTTTACGGTCCCTTGATGTTACTTTACACCAATGCTGCTTTCCCCTCCGTTTTACAAGCACACAAGTAACGTCGTCGCCACGTTAAACCTCTCGGGCGCTGAAAACAGCGTTTAGGCCTTGACCTTGTCACGTTCGGAGGGTTAGGGCTGATTTTACACCGGGGGGGTCGTGCGTAGGGTGCGCAAAGACAAAAAGCGAGCTTGTCTCGGGTCCCCAGCCGCTAAACACTGCCGCAAAAGCTCTTTGTGCAGGAAGCCAGAGAAACAATGAGCTTTTCTACCCACAATTAGCTGTGCTAGAGACGCATACTAATCAGAGCGCAGCGGGTCACACATAGGCTGAGGCGCTGCAGAAACTGCTCTCATTACCGGCTAACTATCGGCGATGAATAATTAGAAACGTAAAATATGAAAACACAGCGGCATGGCGTAATGTCAGGGGAGACGGTGATATTTGGTGTCCTCAGTCTGCATACTCAATGAGAAACCAGCAGCTGCCACAACAACCTGACCTTTGACTTCAGACTCAGCTGGAACGTTCATTCCCGATTCCAGCGACATCCAGTCGGGCGCAGACGGAGAACAACCACCCATTTACATGAGTCTCTGATCTCCATATCTAACTCTACATTACAAACGATCCTCTGCTGAATCAAATAAAGGCTGCTGATGGTGGGACTTGTTTTAATGATTATTTACTGAAAGCAGTTGAGTTTTATGCAGGTTACAGCATATATATTTAAAACAAGACAAACAAAACCAAGACCTGAAAGACCAGAGCCTGTTCAAAGTCAAATCTAGATTATAAATCAAAGTAAACTAATTTCTGATTATTTTATTGCTATTTTTTAATGTAAAGCACGTTGAATTACCATTTTGTATGAAATGTGCTGTATAAATAAACTTGCCTTGCCATGCCAAAAAGAAAAAAAACAAAATGCATTTATTTGTAAATAAATAAATATATTTGTTTTCTCCGTGTATTAGTGGTGCAGATTTTTTACTGACTCATTTTGCAAGTTATATCGCTGAATCATCGCTGAATCATCCATTAAACCAATTCATTCAAAACACTGATCCATTCAGACAAACAAACAAATGCAATGTCTTTATGATTCATTGAATAATTTGCTCAACTGATTTGTTCAACAACACTGATTCATCTATGAATGAAACAAATGGCTGTCTTTGTGAACGAATCAGTGAATCATTTACTCAATAGATTCGTTCAACAGCACCAACTCGTTCATGAGCGAAACAAACGGTTGTCTTTATGAAAGAGTCAGGGAATCATTTACTCAACTGATTCATTCAACATCACTGATTCATTCATGAACGAAACAAATGGCTGTCTTTGTGAATGAGTCATTGCATCATTTACTCAACTGATTCGGACAACAACACTGACTCATTTATGAGTGAAACAAACAGCTGTCTTTATGAACAAGTCATTGAATCATTTACTCAACTGAGTCATTCAACATCACTGATTCATCTATGAATGAAACAAATGGCTGTCTTTGTGAACGAATCAGTGAATCATTTACTCAATAGATTCATTCAACAACACCAACTCATTCATGAGCGAAACAAACGGTTGTCTTTATGAAAGAGTCATTGAATCATTTACTCAACTGATTCATTCAACATCACTGATTCATTCATGAACATAACAAATGGCTGTCTTTATGAAAGAGTCATTGAATCATTTACTCAACTGATTCATTCAACATCACTGATTCATTCATGAACGAAACAAATGGCTGTCTTTATGAAAGAGTCAGTGAATCATTTACTCAACTGATTCATTCAATATCACTGATTCATTCATGAACGAAACAAACGGCTGTCTTTGTGAATGAGTCATTGCATCATTTACTCAACTGATTCGGACAACAACACTGACTCATTTATGAGCGAAACAAATGGTTGTCTTTATGAAAGAGTCATTGAATCATTTACTCAACTGATTCATTCAATGACACGATCGCAGTTACTGTGTCGGAGATGCATAATAAGAACAGCAATTCTGCCGTGGCTTTGTTTGGAAACATGTAGGTTGGCAGAGCATAAATAGACAAAGTAACTAACAATATACATTGTTAGTCTTTATGAAAGAGTCATTGAATCATTTACTCAACTGATTCATTCAATATCACTGATTCATTCATGAACGAAACAAATGGCTGTCTTTGTGAATGAGTCATTGCATCATTTACTCAACTGATTCGGTCAACAACACTGACTCATTTATGAGTGAAACAAATGGTTGTCTTTATGAACAAGTCATTGAATCATTTACTCAACTGATTCATTCAATGACACGATCGCAGTTACTGTGTCGGAGATGCATAATAAGAACAGCAATTCTGCTGTGGCTTTGTTTGGAAACATGTAGGTTGGCAGAGCATAAATAGACAAAGTAACTAACAATATACATTGTTAAAAATGCATTTTACTCAATATTAACTTGTATGATGAACTGTTGAATACAAGCAATAGCACACTCGCAATCACGCTATCGGACTAAATATCAGTCACGTGATCAGCTGCATCATGATGACATTCTGAACAGCACTGATGCTCCTGTAATATTGTTTTGAAACGTAATCATTCAAAAGAACAGTCTGGAATTGTGCAGATGTGCAGGAGCAGATGTATAAAATACACATGTGTGGTTGTAGGAAATAGATTTGCCTCCCTTTGACCGTTTCTCCTGTAAAAGTCAGCAGCGTGTGCACCCTGCGGACCCGCGACTCATTAATCTCATTCAGCCAAATATAAAGAGTAATATTTGTGTTAACTAACCATTACCAAAGGCAGGTGATAATTGAATTACTGCCGTAACAGCGGGACTGTCTGTGAGCCTGGACGATTTTTTCCCTCCCATTTCCCAAATAATGTTGTTGGAGTTTATTGGACCCAGGAGTATGCGCTATGACCACGCCATAATTAGCCCTGACTGATGGCGTGTACTTAACATCAAACAATTAGCGCACATTGTCGTTTTCAGCATAGAAGCCCGTGACTGAGGGCTGAGGCCGCTGGCTTGATGAAAACCAGTTCTGGCATGGCCACTGAACCAATTATGAAGCGAAAGTGAGCGGTGTCTTCTGGGTAACTATCACTCAGTTGTGCAAGGGCTAATTAATGTGTTTCCAAAATGGAGCTTTTCTTTGTAAACGGAGCAGATTTTAGCCAAAGCCTGGTGTCTAGCCAAGTTGTCATTAATTTATTCTACAGTGACTCTGTATGATTTATGACTGTAAAATCCACACCCATCTACAGCCTTCTACAAAATCCACAACCATCTAATTAAACGGCGGTGATGCTGACAGCCCAAAGAGTTATTCAAACAAATAAATCCTACAAGAAACAGCATTAACTCGCTTTAACGTGATGCATTTTCAAACTACAGTCTATAAAAAAAGTTCAACGTTATTAGAAACCACTAGTTTTCAACTAAAAACTAACAACTGTTTATGCATCTACATGACAATGGCGTTTTGGGAGCCTGAAAATGCAAACTTTTTTAAAAAGTGCAAGTTTTTGAAAATTATACCATTATCTTCTCTGTGTAAACTACAAAAACACAAATTTGAGAAAACGGTCACGTCATATGCATGCGTATTGCATGTTTGCTGTATAGGAATGTGTACGTGGACATGCACGCAATGTTTCTTTACAAAGTGACGCCAACTAGTGGCCTGGCATGCATAATGCAGCGTTTTTAGTCGCTTTTTAGTCGCTTTCCACTAAAATTTTTAAAACTTTTTATGCAATTATTTATATAACCCTGAAAACGAGTTTTTGTAAACTATACTATTTATTGTCTCTGTGTAAACAAGAAAAACCCAAATTTGTTAAAACGGTGACGCCATGCGCATACTCCATTTATTGGGATCGTATAGTATTGCATGTTCGCTCTATAGGAATGCATATGTGTGCAGATGTGTAGTGTTTCTTTATAAAGTGACATCGCCAACTAGTGGCCTGGCATGCATAATGCGGCGTTTTTGGTCGTTTTCGCGAATCTGTGTGAACGGGGATCGTTTTGACAATGTTGACGTCTGTACAAGAAACTTTTTAAAAACAAAAAAATTATTTTCAACTAAAAACAAAAAACGTTTTATTCGTTTCGGCCATTCAGTTATATAAACCTGAAAACGCGAACTTTTGAAAATGGGTTTCAGTGTGCAAGTTTTTGAAAATTATATGGTTTTCGTGTCTATGTAAACTACAAAAACACAAATTTGGGAAATGGTGACGTCATATGCATGCGTATTACGTGTTCAGTGTATAGGAATGTGTATGTGTGCAGGTACATAGTGTTTCTTTACCAACTGACATCGCCAACTAGTGGCCTGGCATGCATATTGCAGCATTTTTTGTCGTTTTTGCAATGTTGTCATCTGTACACAAAACTTTGCAAATATTTAAAGAAAAAACCTTTCTGTGTTCATATAAACATACCCTTGAACTGCAAGTCTGTATGATCAGACAATCGGAGGTATTGAACACTGGCAGCCAATCAGATGCCCAAATTCAGCATGGCGGTTCCAGTCGACAGTCTCCAGAGAGACTCTTTTGAGGCCTCTAGAGTACAAAGGGGTTTAATTATCTTGCTTTGTTATTCACACAACAGATCTGCTTCATCCCCTTAAAAGAAGATTCTACTGTGAGCCGCTGGCCTAGTGTCTCTCCTCAAACGGACGACTGGCCACTTTGAAGCCCATTCTTTCAGCCCCTTCATGGGGCATTTGTTTTTTGGCCTGGAGCCGGGAATCACGGGGGTCTCTCAGCTGGTGTGGTGGGTTTCATAGAGCTTGTGTGACAGACAGACCACTCTACTGAAGAAGAGAGGCTTTGAAATACTTGACGGAGACAGAACCCTGCGGGGAGCGACGCTGCGCTGGGAAATCTGAGCGGTTCTGTTTCCTTTAGTCTGTGACTGTAAACGTTTGCATTGCAGAGATTAATGGAGATTCAGAACCACAGCAGAGCAAGAACTATCACAAGAACTTTGAGAAGAAAGAAACAACCACCCAAATGGGGGGGAAAAGCTGCTCTTCACTAACAAAGAAGTACCACGGTATTATCTGACATATCAGCATTACTTTTCTGTAAGGCTTCCAGACCTGTGTGGAATTATGGTATGCGTAGCATAAAGTAAAGTGAAGTAAAGTGAAGTGAAGTGAAGTAATAAAATAAAATAAAAAAAACAAATAAAAAGAAATAAAATAAAATAGCAATTCCTGAGACTTATAAATAAATCTCTCTGTTCAAACTAGGCAGCTGAGTAGAGATGGTTTGAGTTCTGGTGTGTCAGATTATAAACATCTAGTGATCACAAACAACTGAAACATGATTAAATTAACTTTTTTTTGTAGTTGCACCTTTTTGATTTTTTTTTTAAACACCTCACTGGCAGAACTAATAAAATAGAATAAATAAATAAAAATATATAAAAATAAAATAAAATAAAATAAAATAAAATAAAATAAAATAAAATAAAATAAAATAAAATAAAATCTGGTGTGTCAGGTTATGCTTTTACGTTTTACTTCTACTGTTTTACTTCTAGCAACAGGAAG